ATATAAAGTTATTAATGAAGAAAATCAGTCTTGATAACAGCAGACTGACTGCAGGTAAAATATACGACAGGTCTGGACCACTCGTGAGTCCAACTTAAGAACAAATCTGTGCGTACCAACGGCTCTGGCACGAGGGACATCGTTCAGGAAAATAATACAAAAAACATGTTTGTTTTGATTGCAGCTGGTCATTGATTGGCTGGAGAGCATCGCCAAGGATCAGATGGGAGATTTTTCTGACAATATTGAATATTATGCCAAAAACGTCTGCTGGTGAGTTCCCCTCCGTGTGCAGATCAGGTGTGGAAGAGTGGTGAGTTGACACGTGTGTGTGTGTGTGTGTGTGTGTGTGTGTGTTTGTGTTTCAGGGAGAACACGCTGCACGCCCTGAAGATGAGGAGGAAGAGTGGCTCCTCCCTCACCGTCCCTCTGGTCACTGAGCTGGTGAGGCTCAAGCTGAACCTTTCACCTCCTCACATATTTGAATAAAACGGTGAATTAATGGTGTTTTCGTGCTCAGGACCCCGACGCCCCCCTGCGGCAGCAGCGCCCCCTGGCAGACCTGGACAGGGAGGACGACGCCCGTCTGCTGAAGAACCTGTTCACCCTGATCCGAGCCGGGATGACCGAGGAGGTAACGCAACAGAGGAGCCGGATTTTTTTGTATCCTCCATCTTTTACTAAAACCTGTTGGTGTGTGTGTGTGTGTGTGTGTGTGTGTGTGTGTAGGCTCAGAGGTTGTGCAAACGCTGCGGTCAGGCCTGGAGAGCTGCGACCCTGGAGGGCTGGAAACTGTACCATGACCCCAACATGACCTCAGGTAACGTCTGCTGGACGTGATCGCAGCGAGTACCTAATAATGGGCCGGCTCAGMCGGTTTACATTTAGGATCTGATCCATGTTGTCTTAATAAAGAAGACTTTGACCAGTGGTTCATGAGATATTTTGCTAACAGACACGTAAATGTGCTAAAAACATCATTGCTCTTCCTTTGCCTTCAGCAGCAGCTGATAATAAAACAAGTTTAGACCCACAGGTCAGAGCTGCCATCATTAGTTATAAAGTTTTTGATTCAGTTTAGGCAACTTTTTAAAATCCTGGCATTTTTTAAAAATAAATAATGATATTAGTTTATAAATTTGTTCTGTTTTCAGAACAAATCGACCTTTTCCTTTCAATCCTAAACTGTAGCACCATTTCATTTAGTATTTGTCATCTTTAAGTAGAAGGCCAATGACATCACCCCCARCCAATTAAAACTGAGTTTTCAGACTGGCCCCTTCATAAACAACAGGGTTCCTGCAGATCCTTAAAAAGTCTTAAAAGTCCTTGAATTCATAATTAATCCAAATTGAATCCAAAATTAAGGCCTTAATTAGCC